AAATAAGCTTCAAAAAATAAAAAGAAATAAACAAGGAATTAAACCACCCATGAATCTAACTGCCAAATCCAGGGGCAACTGGCTAGCTCAAGGGGTAGAGCATATGACTGCATCATGAGTTCAAGCTGCATGTTTAGCATGGAGCCTACTTTCATATAATAATAATAATATATTATCAAATCCAAAGCCCTCTTTTGAGTCTTCATCCTACTGGATCCTTCTATAGCATGAAGCACGCTGATCAATCCCTTCCATCTTTAAAGTCCTTTCTCTCTTGGCTTCAATGATATTTCTCCCTCACATGCCCAAGTTTTTCAGATCTCAGAAGCTAAGCAGAGTTTGACCTGGTCAGTACTGAGACCTTCAGGATTATCTGGTGCTATAAGCTTTTTCTGGCACATATTCACTAATACTAGTTTCTTACCACTTTCCCTTCTTGCTAATTTTTGAATCTCTTTGCAGACTTTTTCCTACTCCAATTTCCTTTCCTGTTCAACCCTAAAGCATCAAAGCCTCCCAAGCTTCTTTCCACATTTTGTTATATACAGCTTTCCTGGGTGAGTGGATCTACTTGCTGTCACTTATATGAAAATGTTTATTTATTCCAGATAAACACTTCCAAGTTACCAATAGATAGCCTCCAAGTACTGCACTAAAAGTTCTAAAGCCAAACTCATTACTTCTCCCACTCCCCTTGTCTTCCTCTTGGTTAAAGATATTAATATTACCTCTTAGCTCAAGTTAGATAGCCCTTTATATTTTATTCCTTTTCCCTCTCACTAACGGCAGTCATATCCATCTCTCTGTCTCAGAAATATCCTCTAAATCTATCCTCCCTTTAAAAAATATATTTATTTATTTATTTATTTATTTTGAGAGAGAGAGAGAGAGAGAGAGAGAGAGCGAGCGAGCTGGGGGTGGGGGAGCAGGGGGCAGAGAAAAAGGGTCAGAGAGAATCCCAAGAAGGCTCCACACTTGTCAGTGCAGAACCCAACATGGGGCTCGAACTCATGAACTGTGAGATTATGTCCTGAGTTGTCAGGTAATTAACTGACTGAGCCATCCAGGTGTCCCTACCCTCCCTTTATAATTCCTGCTACTTGAGCTTTAGTTCAAATCATCATCACATGTATGTATTTCCAGTCTCTTCTTTGTCCAGTCTATCTATCCTGCTGCCATAGCCATCTAATGAGACCACCCACAACACCTTCCAAACATGCTGTTTTACCTATACTGAATCACTCCTAAGCTCCTAACACATTTCTTAGGAGTTTATCCATCCAATAAACAAGCACTGAGGGGGCTCCCTTTGTAGTAGGCACTTTGCTGAAAGCTTTATATTTGTGACATCATTTAATCTTAATATAGTTCAGGTAGGTTGGTATTTAACAGACCCACTTTTTATAGCCAAGGAAACTGAAGTTCAGATTAACCAAATCACAGAGCTAAATAGAAACAAAGCAATGATCCAAACATAAGCCTCTCAAATACAATGGCTATTAAATCTAGTTTCCAACTCAGCACAAAAAACAAAAAACAAAACAATGAATGCAAGATGAATTAATAAAGATGAAGAATTACTCAGTAAATTAGTATGTGTTTGGACTAGGGAAAAACAAAACAAAAAGGAAACTCTAATGGGACAGGGATGCTTGTCTTAACTAAATCAGAGGCTACCTTAGAGAAAAACAATTTGACTTCTAATGAGGTTTTAGAGGACAGTACACTTAAGACCTACTAAGTTAGTAATTCACAAAAGGAATGGGCAGCCTGATCTCTGTTACAACTGTTAGTAACCACTTACCCAGATGTTATGAAAGAAATGACAACATTGTATTGATTAAAACTATTTAAAGTTGATCATTTTCCCACTTTAAGGATGAAAAGCTTGGGAAATACTGGAACTCTCCCAAATCTAGAACTACTTCTGCTGGTCTTAAGTATACCTATTGGGCACAAGACTTAGGTGAAAAGGAATTAAAGGCTTTGCTCTAATTACAGACAGAACACAGAAGTGCTCATATACAGACTACACAAAAATCATGAGTAATCATTTATATTTAGTTTTGAAATACTGTGTTCAGACTAATATCACATTTCTTAACGACCAGGAAACATGAAAGTCCCAGAAGACCAAAAATAACATAAGCAGTACATGCCTTATATGCAAATGATTTTTAAAAGAGTACAATAATCTTCAATAGAATTTTTAAGAAGCCCATATATTTTCTGGTTTTATAATCAAGCTTATTCCAGTTTCAACTGGTGTAAAATAGGAACATGGGTCTAATGCCTAACAGTACAATATGTGCTCAATTACTATGATGTTGAGCAAATTCCTCAAGATTTTCTACTGGACACTGCAACATAATGTTTATTAGACACTGGTTAGTGACAGACTTTAACTTCCAAGAAGGATAAAACTTTATCTTATTTAAAACTGATGTTTATTAAATGAAGGCATGGATAAATAAATTAATAAATGGTAACCTTAAGACTCAAACTTCAATCCTTGCAAAATAGGACCTAATAGTGACTGATTTTAAAAAAGAAGTAAAAAAGAAAGGCACTGTCCTAATTTCAACAAAACCTCTCAGAGCTCTTATTGTATTAGAGCTCGAAATTACTAATATTCAATTGGTTTTCTGTACAGAAAATATATTTTAACTTAATTCATTAGAACTAAACACATTATAGTTACTGATAAGAACTTTTTTTAATGTTTTGTTTATTTCTGAGAGAGAGAGAGTGTGTGAGCAGGGGAGGGTCAGAGAAATGGAAACACAGAATCAGAAGCAGGCTCCAGGCTCTGAGCTGGCTGTCAGCACAGAGCCCGACGTGGGGCTTGAACCTATGAACCATGAGATGGTGACCAGAGCCGAAGTCGGACGCTTCACTTACTGAGCCACCCAGGTGCCCCATAACTCATTTTGTTTTAAAAACAAAACAAAACGAAAACAAAAAGTAAAAAGCAAGTTACTATTTATCATGATACATCAAAAGCGGGGCCCGTAAAACATGCCCCTCATAACATACCATATTACATCAGAATACATGTATTTCTCCATCCATGTAATTGAGTACTATAATAGGCTTTCATTATATTTTAAAAGCATTCTTACTAAGATTTCAATAGTAACATCTTAATACATCTAAAATGTAAGGTTCATTGAATCACAGACTTAATGAGAGCAGAGCTTTGATTTTATATTTTTTGCTACATCTCCAGAGCTAGAATGGTGCCCTTCATAGACAAAGTCATTTATCTAACAACAAATATTTATTAAGTACTCACTCTGTGTCAGACACTGTTTTAGGTGCTTGGCATAGAAAAAGCAGATGAAGATCTTTGCTTTAATTACAAATGTTGGATAAAGTAATAAAAATCTGCAGAAAAACTGTTTTAAAGCACTTTAAGTATGTTTTGATAACTTCATGAAAATTCCAGAACCCATGATCCTACCCATTATTTTATAAGACCACCATATATTTCAAAATATATTTTAAAAAAATATTAAGATGCCGGGGCACCTGGGTGGCTCAGTTGGTTAAGCCTCCTACTTCAGCGCAGGTCATGATCTCAGTTAGTGAGTTCCGAGCCCTGCATCCGGCTCTGTGCTGACAGCTAGGAGCCTGGAGCCTGCTTCAGATTCCGTCACCTTCTCTCTCTGCCCCTCCCCCACTCAGGCTCTTTCTCTCTCTCAAAAATAAACAAACATGTGAAAAATTAAAAAAAATAAGATGCTTCTAGGAGTCCTCTAAAAAAATATCTTGAATGTAAGGAATGCTATCATTAAAATTCCTATTTCATGAAAGTTTAACAGTCTCCCTAAATTAAATGACCAAAGAACAAGACCTTCATTTGCTAACAGTATACTGCAGCTGCCCACAAACGGGAAATTTATCATAATTCTTATCTACCATTCTCAAGCTGTTTACTATGAGAGCAAAAGCATGAAACACTATCATACTCATCATTACACTTGTTTTTTGGTGACCTTAGGTAACTGCAAAAAGTTCCCAGTTATTACTTTTCATAACATAACATGAAATAATTTGCTCTCCGGCATGCAACAATACAGGGCTCAGTGCTTCTGTTTAGTTTTAATTCCACCTGAATCTATGTAAAAGAGGGGGGAGGGGTTATCAAGACAACAGGATCTTTCAATTCTTCAGACTTCTTCATGGGAAGAATTAGCCATAATTTGAAAAATAATCTTGAAACTCTTGTTGCCAACGTTGGTTGGTTTTTTTCCCCCTTTGTTGTTTTTAGGAAATGCTATATTACAGAGGATAAAATGGATAAAAATAATAGAGAAGTGAAATAATTGGGAACAAAGCAAAATCTGGAGTCATGGTTACAGCACAAGGATAAACTCAAAGATAAGAAATCAATGCTGGCTCTTCCTTACAGAATTGTCATGAGTAAGTCTTAAATCCTTCCGTTAATCTATTGTCCCGGCTCTAAACCTGGCCAGTGACACTTGCTTGGGAGATGCTCTTGGCATCCCTCCGACAGAAGATGCGGTACAGATAGAAAAACGGTTACCTAGGGAAACTGGCCAAGGACAGTGTCAGAAGCCAGAGGCTGGAAACACACCCCGAGGGCCCCCCGCAAAGGCTAGAGGTAGGGAGCCCATGGACAATGATGAAGAGTCTACTTTGCAAGAAAAATAGAATCTGTCCGGAGTCTGCGATTACCAAAAGGGCAGGAATCAGGCAGACCAGAAGAGGGAAGAGACTGGCAGGCAGATGCCCAAGGCATATCAGGCTCCCGGTGAGGAACCCCAGCCGAAGACCGTCTGAAGCCGGGCAGCCAGAGGATCATTAGCTCCACCGTGTCGGGGGCTGCCGGGCTACCGCTTGCTAGGGCCTCGGGAGGAGCGGCGGGGTCCACCACTCCGGACCCGCCCTTGCTTCCCCGGTACCGCTGTTCTGGGCACCTCTGGCTGCTGCAGGCCCACTCCAACCGCCCGGCCCGCATCCCTTCATCTCCTCACCTTCCAGTCCCTCCATGGCGCCACCGCCTCGGGTTCCGCGAGACTCCTCCGGCAGCACCCGCAGCAGCCGCCACCGCCTCCGCCGCCGCTGCCGCCGCCGCCACCGCCCAGCTCCGGCTGTAGCAACCGGGCCGCACCTCCCACCCGCTAACATCCCGGGCTCCCATTGGCCCGACGCTGGCGGGGCGGGGCTCCTGAGCAGCGGGGGCTCACGGGGAGGCGCGCCTCCTGCAGCTGCTGCTCTGCCGCCTCCTGGCTGAGAGCTTTCCCGGTCTTTCTCCCTCCCGGTAAGCCTAACCCTCTTCAGGTTGCGTACTGCCGCCCAACGACGCCTTTGTTCCCCTGACTGCAGACTTGTTTCTCTCACACCTTATCCTCCGGTTTAGAATCTCTCAGCTCCTCACGGTCCGCCATTCACCAGTCCCTCGGTCGGTCCGTGCAGGTGTGTCTTCTCTTTTGTCCCTCTCTGAGGACAATACGCGAACAAGCGAGCCAAAGACGCGTCCGTGCAGCGCACTCCCCATTTTCCGCTTGTTGGTCACGCGACATTACCTGAGTGTATTTCCTTACACTCGAGATTCACACACAGATTTAGGAGTTAAGGCACCTTTTTTCTTTTCTTTTCCCCGGCAGAAATCAGAACTGAGATCTCTCTAAATACTTGGAAACTATTTCCTCAGCATGAAAGTTCGGGCGGAAAATTAAAAAGGGAAAGCCAGCCCTGCCTTTATTTTCATCTACTCTAGGCCTTTCCAGACCCTTTTAACTAAAATAGTCTGCTGGCCTCCTGACTTATGAAGTAATATCAAAACTATGTTTGATCAGGGAGTTTAAGGGCGGAACTAACTTAGGAATCAGGGCTCTTTTTGTCAGAGTCAAACCCTTTTGGGGGTGAAGGTAATTTCAAAACCAGCTAAAACTTTTGCCTAACAGTCGAATACATTTCACTAAGAACTGAATTTCTTTGAAAATTTGATTTAATAGTGAGAAACCATGTCGTGTGTTAACTCCAGTATATCAACTGGCAAGTTATCAGTAGCAATGTAATTTCTGTAACAAATCTTACATTAATTTTCTTATTTGTTTAGTTGCCGAGTTTTCACATCATATCTAACTTTGTGTATTGTTAAAAGGATGGGGCGCCTGGGTGGCTCAGTCGGTGAAGTGTCCGACTTCGGCTCAGGTCATGATCACACGGTTAGTGGGTTCGAGCCCCGCGTCGGGCTCTGTGCTGATAGCTAGCTTGGAGCCTGGAGCCTGCTTCTAATTCTGTGTCTCCCTCTCTCTCTCTGCCCTTCCCCTGGCCCATGCTGTCTCTCTCTCTCTCAAAAATAAATAAGCTATAAAAAGAATTTTTTTTAAATATTTTTATTTATTTCTAGGAGAGAGAGAGAGAGANTTTATCCAGTTTACTTAATATATAGCATGGAACTGTGTGCGATATTTTCTTAATTTTAAAAATAATTTAGACATGTGTTACTATATGTAGCTTCTCATTATTGATTTTAGCAGTTTCCTCTTTACCTCAATTATGTTTGCTTTTATTTTATTTTTTTAAATGTTTTCTTTATTTCTAGGAGAGAGAGAGAGAGAAAGTGTGAGCAGGGGAGGGTCAGAGAGAGAGGGAGTCACAGACCGAAACAGGCCTCAGGCTCTGAGCTGGCAGTCAGCACAGAGCCCGACGCGGGGCTCGAACCCACGAACCGCAAGATCATGACCTAAGCGAAAGTCGGCCGCTTAACCGACTAAGCCACCCAGGCGCCCCTATAAAAAGAATTTTTAAAAAAAGGATGTAACTTACAAAGCAGTAGCCTTTAAGAAACAATGGTCCACCTACTCCCCACTCAAAGCTATTGCAGTTGATCCTTGAATAATACCGGCTTAAAGGTACTGATACTTGCATGGTCAAAAGTCCATGTATAACTTTTGACTCCCCCCAAAACTTAACAGACTGTTGCTGACTGGAAGCCTACCAACAGTACAAACAGTCAATTAACACGTATTTCGTGTGTTATATGTATCATACATTGTATTCTTACAATAAGCTAGAGAAGAGAAACTGTTACTGACAAAGTAAAAAGGAAGAGAAAATATATTTACAGTACTGTATTTATTAAAAAATAATAAAAATAAAACCCACGTGGAAGTGGACTCCCACAGTTCAAACCGGAATTTTTTAAGGGTCAACCATATAAACTAGAAACAAACACTAGAGGGGGACATCACCTCTTATTAGGAAGGTTATCTAAATATAGTTGAGTGCAGAATGGTCCATCTCTTTACACAGCGTCATGTAAAGGAAAACTTCAGCCACACTTGTCTCTATTCCTACCCTTCCCATGATGCTTCTCTGACTTTTCTGTTCCTCTAACATCTGAGATCCTGGGCCTAATTGGCGCAGCTACAGCCATCTCCAGTTAGCCTTCCTAGCCTAAGTGGATAGGTCCTTTTTCCTTGGTGGTGCTAAGACAAAGCTAGAATTGTGGGGGAGTGCGTGTGTGTGTGTGTGTGTGTGTTTGTGTGTGTGTGGAGGGGACTTTTAAAAGAGCACTAAGGAGGAAATAAACACACTTGGAAGAAAACCCAAAAAAAACGAAGAAATTTACTTTACAAACTGCAAATTTTTCATCTGAAGTCAAGCCAAAGATGGAGTTGGCTGATACATACTCCATTAGGTGTAATAGCTGTAGTAACAACTGAAACAATAATACAGTAATAATGTTAACAGTAACAATTTAAAAAATCATGTAAGGCATATTTTAGTTCCTTTTCATATGTTCACTTATTTCATCTTCAAAACAATTCTTCAGAGTAGATACTATAATTTTCATTTTTCAGAATTAATGTCCTTATTTTCTAGATATCTCAGATTATTCTTTTGCCATTATTTATATTACTAGTGAATAGTAACTTGGATTTAAACTCTGGTCTGTCTGATTTTACCTATGGCAATTTCATGGAACTCCTCATTTCTCTTTCTCACCTTGCCTTCTAGATGCCTCAAATATAATTCTAAATGTTCAAACATGTTGTTGAAGGTATTCTTGGGTAGGCATTATTACCGTGAATCTTAATTCTCTAGAACATACCTGCTAATCTCCTGTATAGATAATGCTCTCTCAGCACTTTTATGCTACAGCTACCCTGGCTCTTGCAGCTTTTCTCTGGTCCTGACCTCTGGGCAAAGAGGATAGTTTCTTAGCTGCCTTCCTAAATTCCATTCTCTGCTTCTTACACGCGTAGCCTGAGAGTCTCTTAAGTCTCAGTGCTCTGTTCTGACTTTATTTCCTCTTGATCTATTTCATTCTTTTGATGTATCCATTCAGCAAATATTTGTTAAATACCTACTATGTTTCAGGTCCATTTCATTACTAGCCGGTTACTGAAATGGATGAAACTCCGTTTCTTCTCTTATATCCCTTATCTGTTCATAGCCTTTTTAAACTGCCAACTGATCTTTTTAGCTTATAGTAATATTCATAGCTGAATACAAATTAAAGATTTTCTTACCTCTTTATCATACAAAAAAGAAAGCAAAGGTTCAGAGATGTTTACTGACTCATTCCAGGTGACAAAACTAGTAAGTAGCCGAAATACATATTGGATTCTTATTACATCATATTCCTGCTTCTTTATGCTTTGTATTACTTTCCCTTCAACCATAATTTCCTGGAACCAACCCACATCTCTTTTGCACCTTCCAAAGTGCTGAGCAAGCTATGTGTATCTTCTTGTTTCAAAGGTTCAACCTCCCTTTGGATCTTACGCAAAGATCAGTTTTCCTTTCAGAGACAACATTTGGCTGTTATTCAAATCATTTGCAGAACACAGCTAAATGAGATTCTGAATCTTAGTGAGAATCCAAGTCAGTTTATGAACTTCCATTATGTAGTGCATTTCTTCCCTCCATAGCCTCCATAAGAATGACCCATGGCGCTTTAGTAATTTACATATTTAGTAATCATAACAAAATGATAACTTTAATCAAAAACAAAAGAAGCATATTTCCCTTAAAGAGGAAAAGGAGCTGTTAAACAGTTTTCTAGATTAAGGAAGCACATTCTCAGTTGGCTCTTATTAGTTTTATTTTGTATATTGAAGTTAAAACAAAATTCTTTTAAGTGTTCAGGTGTAAAATAGTGATAGTCTTAAACAAGAAAACACTGAGAAAAGAGAGGAACTTAAAGCAAACTTCATCTTCTTCACTGATTGGAGGGCTACTCTTCGCAGTGTGATAGTGATTATACTACTCTTTCGCCTCTAGTCCCCAAAAGAACTCCAGTTCCAAAAGGGGCATTTGTTCTCACTTTCAAAACTAATTCTCATCAGCAAAAGGATAAATTTTTTCAACCTTCAGTTATGATCCCATCTATTCATCCGTTGCCACCACAATCCCAAGTCTTAAACGGAAATCTGTTAATTGAGATACTTATTGAGATACTTCCCTGTACACATCTCTATTCTTGGCAGAACATGAAACTCCAAAGAAGTGTCTCTACTTTCCATGCAATTAACATCTGGTAGAGGAAGCCCTGAGAAAGACATAATACAGAATGATAGAAGAAAATATATTCATTATATTATTAAGTCTTAGGTGTTGTGGTACAGCATATAAAAGTGATTGATTTCAGGAAGACATTTATATGAATGGAACAATAAAAGGCCTTATGGAAAAGAAGAACTTAAATTGTATTTTGAAAGGTGTCATTGGACAGGTAAAGATCACTAAGGATGAGGGGGCAATGGCTTAAGTGTTAAGAAAATAATGCAAGCCTGGTGTGTTCTGGGATAGTCAATAAAGAAATGAGAGTATCTATATATATTTGTTCCTGTAACATTTTTTCTTAAGTTACAAGTACAGGCATTGTATAACATATTTCTTAAATCTCAGGAGGTGGATGTTAAGGTAATAATAAATGGGTGAGGGGCATTAAGGAGGGCATTTGTTGTGAGAAGCACTGGGTGTTATAGGTAAGTGATGAATTGCTAAATTTTACACCTAAAACCAATTTTACCATACATGTTAACTAACTAGAATTTAAATAAAAACTTGAAAAATGTATAGCACATATCTCACGTGTCTACTACAAAGGCATCTTCCCCCCGCCATTTTATTAGTTAGACTTTCATTCACCATTTTAACTCTATTTACTA